ATTGCAAAAAAATTGTGAAATTTACTATTTTGTGACTATAGGATCTTAAAAACCTCAGCTATATTCAATCTTATTTAGTCCTTTTAATGCCCATTTTTTGCTTCGCTTCGTTAATGCCTTATAAAACTACTGTATTTATTATATAAATAGACTATTGTTGAGGTCGTTGCTGTAAAATCCAATAAATATTGAGCAGGCGTTAAGTGCTACTTTCTCACTCTTAAGCTAACACGATATTTTTATTCTTAGATATGAATATAAGTTCGGTTTCAAAGATTCCCTTAGTAAATTGATATTATTTTGCCTACTATTCCGTTTAAAAAGGTTAGTGAAAGGGATTTATAAATTAGCCCAGTCGGAAACCAAAGGAGGGTTGCTTTTGAGCTGGATCCGTTCTATGCTTTAGCCTGTCCTGTATGAGAAATCACCAGAGAGTGAGGCCATGCTTTATGAGAATTGCTTGTTTGACCTTCAGTCCGAGTAAAATTGTATGATGAGATTTATAGGCCGATATCACCAGAAGAAGACAAGTGATTCTCGTTGTAGTGCAGCTGTGTGGTTTTACTTTGACATTTCATGAGAATTCCCCTTCGTTTCGGGTTAAAATGGGCTGAATTTTCGTCCGTTATTTGGCAGACATTGTCAGAGTAGGAGTACCTTCTTGCTAAAGCTTCAGGTTGCTACCTCGTCAAAAGGCTAGCGGGTTCTTAGCTGCTAAATATACTCACAACTGGAGATAAATAACTATATATAGAATTATTTGGTTAATTCTTTTTCATCTTAATCTAAATGTGAGTGTATCTAAGTCAGAGTACGAAATACGGGTCGTATCTCAGAGTAATAATAATATAGCCTAACTACAGTCCTGGGCTATCAAGGTTTAAAGACCCAGAGAGAAGCGTGATTTGGATTGTGTAGTCCCGAATGTCTAGTTGTGTTAATGAGTTTGGCAGAACTTTTGAACCAATGAGAGTTTGGTTATAGCCATCACTGTGCTGACCTGTTGAAACACTGTCTTTTGCTGGGTGGTTCAGCACTCTCTCCTTAATTATATAAATCAGTTCTTATTCAACTCTCTATCCCCTTTCTTTAGAACCAACATATTTCCTTATTTACTCATCTCAACAGCCTCTCCTACCTTGCGTTTGGTATCACATCTATTATATATTAGGTAATTCAATGCTTTGACACCATTCCACCTCGTGTCAAATTTCCTCCTTGTGTTCAGCCACTTCTGATCGATGGATCTATCTGCCTTTGTGAGCATTTTTGTTTTCCGCTATTCTTCGAAGAAAAGAGCGATATGTCTCGCTAGATTAAGGCCTATCGTATGAGCACACAATTTTGTGAAAACTAGATCTTGATAATGGGTCATATTTCTCTCTTTAAGATGACAATCGAATAGTGTTTGGATTTATTTTTAAACTGTGAATATTTTCCACTCGTCTTTTCAAATAAATTGGGAGACGACACAAAAAAGTATGTTTCTTTTTTTTCGTTTATAAGTAAGCTTTAGACTTCCTTAAATGAAATAGGGTCAATACACGTATAAAGTATGTTTCTCTTATTACATTATCTTGGATTCAAATGTATCCGACTGCAAAAATGTAGGATATGTTTAGTAAGATTATAAGGTAAGTAGGTATTGGTCATTTAACCTATTCACTTACTTTTACTCAAGCTACTTCCATTTTTCTAAGCACTTTGGCTTTGCCATCATTATCAATTAGATATCTTCTTCTACGACACTAGTGCAGCTAGCTTACCTCGGCTCTCACCGATTCCAGTCCTTAACCGGGCTCTGATCGGTGAGAATAACTTGCTTGTAAACCAGCTCGACACGACTCTCTCAGCTCGAGTGGCGGCGGCTGCATCCAGCGGCAGTGCAGCAGCAGCATCCTCCGTGTTGTCTATTGCTCAGGACAATTGGCAATTGACTCGCCGGTTCTTTATGGTTGACAACGTTGCTGGAAAGACAGTTGGCAACACAAACTGTAAGTCATGTTTGTATACGCCATACACTTCTGTCTAGAACATACTGGGCCACTTCTTATTGCTATCACCCGTTTACTCACCACATTATAAGATTATGTACCTTCAGACTTTACACTGATATGATAATTTTTATTTGGTCGGGCTAAAATTTTTAATCCAATGGATCTTTAATTCTCCTATATGCATAAAAATTTGATTCAATTTTGCATCTTACCTGCCATCCTAGCCCACTCTCTAGTTTTGATATCTCAGATTCATTAAAGTAATTATTTAACATTTGACTTTGAAAAAGTCGTCGATTCTGGTTCAGAGTAAACTTACTTATTAGATTTGCTAAGAAAAGCTTTTTCGTGGAAACCTCTTTAATCTTTAGTTGACGGCCATTTTCATTAGGCTTCAATATTTCATGAAAAATTTTTATGTTTAACTCAT